TAATATCTCAAATTATCATGAAAGACATCAATTAAAGAAAGCATAAAGCATCTATGAACTTATTAATTTAATAACGATTAGCAAAGAAAAATTGGTTTGGTTTACCTAATCTTTTGTCTCGTTTTACCCTATAGATCCATTAACTAATTGAAGTATGATCAACTAACAATATAATTAATTAGGATTATAATTATGCGCAATAGGATAAAAGCTAATCACAAACGAAAATCAAATATAGACTCAAACTTCAAAATCTCATAAATTCATGAACAATATTTCTCAAAGCCCTAGCTATGGATATAGTTACTCATGTTAAAGGAAAGAACTAAAATAATCATAAATAAAGCCATAATTAAAAGAAATAGGAAATTAGAGTGTAAGATGAGTTCTCGGTCTTCAAGTACGATTGCTCGAAACTCTAAGTCCCGCCAAGAGTATGCCCAAGATCTCGTACAAGAGAAACGAGATGAGAAGCGTATCAGAGAGTAAAAGACAAGATATAAATGGTGTGTCCAACAAGATGTTTGAGGTATCTCTTTTATAGGGTTTAAAAATCCTAAAAGCTCTTTATAATTAGGCTTCTTGCAGATGAGCATGGTCATGTAAGGCCTTATTGAAAGAGTCTGAGCGTACTGACTACTGCGAAGCTCTGATCTTTCATTAATTTAGGCCTAAAACGCACTTAAAATTCACTTGTGGCCTCTTCATAGTAAACTGAACATTTAACATATAAGTCAGTGTAAAACTCAACTAAAATAAAAGTTAATCATAAATATATAGGTCGTAGAAAAGGGCCTAATTACGAACTTATTAGATTCATTGGAAGGTTGAGAGCTACTTATAATAATAAATTAATTACATATTCTCCATAAAACTTGTCAATCTTATCTTTCACATTATTGACATTTTCTTGAGAGGTTAAAGAATCCATCGTGTTGCAACAAAATCTTAAGAAGTCAAGCTTTGACCAATGGTTAAGAATAGTTCCAAAAGCTAACAGCACACTATAATTCTTCTAATAATTTTTAAATTTTTCTTTTATTCTTGCAGTCATACCCTTTATAACATCATCATCATCATCACTTGATAAGCATTCAATCTTCCAAACTTGCATAAATTTTTTAAGTCGTATAATAAGAACTAGATGTCATATTTGTAGTTTCATAAAACAACTCTAAAAATTTACACAATTTCTCTCTTTACTCCATTTCTCGTATAATGGACAATACTTACAATTCCTATCAACTACCTTACGAATATCAAAAACTTTTTTATATTTAATTGCACTCTCAAGCATTAGTATGTCAAATTCCATCTAGTAGACACATTTAATCTCAACATAATTTAACTAGATTATCATATATCCTAAATGTTATAATCTTACGAAAATAATTTTAATTTCAAAATAAACTTTCTTTTACTAAACTTATTTTTAATCAACTAACTTTATAACATTTTTAATAGAATTATGTAACTTTGAATTCTCCATTGCACCTAGGGATATGTAGGAGTGAGGACCGATCAAGTCAAAATAATTTTAAAAATATTTTTCTCTTCTTCCTTTAATATCAATTAATATTTCTAATATATAGATAAAAAGAGTAAAATATATACTTAGCAAAATTTTGTTTTAGAATTAAATAAATATTTTTAAAATTATAATAAATTTACATAATTAGTTTAATATAACCAATATTTTTAGACAGATGTTATAGAGTGCATTCTCTATACATAAATGACTCTCGAGCCTATTTTTTATTTCAAAAATTATTTTTAAAGTTTTTTTAATAAATTTTGGCTACGATTCTTCTAATTTTTTAGAAAAATATTTTATTTCTAAAATTATTTTTTGTTATACGTTTCAATATCTAATTGTGACCCTCATTGCAATATATATTTATTAAAAAAGAGCAGTGATTTGATATAATAGATAAATATCTAATAAAACAATATCTCTCAAAGTATTATATTAGCAAGATTTAAAAAATATAAAAATAAAATAAAAAATTAAAATATACTTTTGAAATACAAATTAATTAAAATTACTTATTCCTCACTTCTATGGAAGACAAGTTTCATTTCATCATACCTAAGATCTATTAAAAATTGGTACTTAACATTAAGATATTTACCTCTTTCATATAAAATAGGATTTTGAAGAACTTTAGTGTTGAATTATTGTCATAATAGATGATAGTAGTTTTTTTATTGTTCAAATTGGAGTTCTTCAAAAGAATTTCTCAATTAAATAGCTTTACATACATAAAATGTTTTAGCCACCAAATAAGTTGCTTCCTTGAAGATCCTGAAACAACAATTAAACAAAAGTTTTATATATATATATATATATATATATATATATATATATATATAAAAGTAATTTTTTATCATTTTAATATCTTGCATAATTACTATTAGTAAAATTACATAAATTAGACTTTTTCTTTTTTTTAGAATAGCCCATAACCAACCAACTATCCCATTTTTAAGTATCAAAAAATTCTTTTTGCAACTGAAAGATGCACCTTAGGCAATCTATATAGTTGCTAATAAGGTTAACAACATACATTATATCAAGTATTGTTGCCATAAAATACATCAAAATTCTCACCATTTATTTATACAAGGTGCTATTTACTTTATTTTCATCATGATCCTTGAAAAGCTTAATCCAAATTTAGTAAATGTACTAACAACATTGCACTTTGTCATTTGAAAACAATCTAGGATCTTAAATTTTTGAAAATTTCAAGTCTATCCAATTTTAACAATCAGCATTCTTTCATCATTACCAATTTTAACAAAGTATGTTCATATAAACACTTTTTAAACCTTTCTTTCAAAAAATATGTTACTATACGATTATATCCAGTTTGTGGTGCTTGTTTTAGTTTATAAAGTCTCTTTTTCGCACTTTTTTTAATTTATAACTTTATGTTCACTTCTTTATTTCACATAACCAAGTAGTTGTTCAATGAATACATGTTTTTCCAACTCATTATTCAAAAAAGTTGATTTCACGTGTAGTTGGAAGATACGACGTAAATTTTGAGTTGCCAATGCAGTCATCAACCTTATTGTATCATGTACAACAAGCGTAAAGACTTCTTTGTACTTCACACCAAACTCTTCTTTATAAACTTCAACAACTAGTCTTACTTTACACTTTTCCATCTTACCATTTTTATTCAATTTTATTTTATAAACCCATTTTACACCAATTGTTTTATGTCCATTTAGAAGATTAATAAGTTGTCAAGTATAATTTTTTCATCCATAACCTTTCAAATCTTTGACTACAACTTCAAAATTTGTAGGATTATAACCAACAAAATAAAACAACGTATGTTAGTGACTCCTTCAAATGATCAACTCTAGCTACCTTATAATCAAACATTTAAGTTGATTTTCTCCTAACTCATTGTGGTCTCAGTTCAATATTTACTATTAACAATGAAGGATTTGTCACATTTTTTAATAATACATTATGCAACGTATTTTCATTATTCTCATCATCAAAGTTCAATTTTCATGATAGACCTTTGATTCATCACTAACACTAAGGAAAACATAATTTTCTCTTTTGTAATCTAGCTTTCTTCTCTTTTCATTTGAAATTCTGAAATAATTAAAAGATGGTTTGCTTCTACTCCATGCTTCCTCTAGTGTCATGTTTGAAGAGTAAATATAGGACTTCTATTTAACATATGGATGCTCCTTTCGACGCTTAAAGCCAAACACTTTTTGGAATGTCACTCATCTTCAAAAGACTTCATGTATGCTACTAGCAGCATTTTAATGTATCACATCAACTTAAATTAAGTTGTATCTTAACAAAATATTTTATAAGAATCAAGTTCAAATTATACAACTTTTATAGGAATATAGGAATCAATCACTTAATTAAACCTATTTTTATCTGCAATAATGAATCATAATAGTAAACTTTATATTAATGAAAATTTTATTTCTTAACATATTTATTGTGATTATTTAAACTACATATATTTTTAACATTATAAACTAATGTTGGAAAGTTTTTTATTAAATTTATCAATATTTGTGGCGTTTATTTAAAAAATTGTATGCTTGAAATATTATTTAATTAGCTTACAAGATAAAAGAAAACCTTTCCATAAAATAAACCTATGCAACGGATGTTAATACATCTAATTTTATAAGAACATATTGTCACTTCCACTGTGAGATTGCAAAACGAGTACATAATAGTAACGCGATATCTAATTTGATGTATCTAACTATCTATTAAAAAGACCGTTTTTAAAATCCCAAGTTATAGATTTCATTTTATAATAATTATTTTTTTATGTAAACAAATTATTCTAATTAATAAATAAAAATATTAAATTTTTAAAATTTTTAAAATGGAAAATATATTTATTTTATCAATTTTATTAATCTTTGGGCTCACTGTGATTTTAAACATTTAAAAATAATTGTTTTATTTTAAAAAATTAGTATTTATTACGTTTTTATATTTTCAATAAAAGCTTCAGTTTTTAATTTTTTTTTATTCTTAACTTTAAGGGTTTAGATTAACATTCAATATTATTTACTTTGTAAGAAAAAAAAATTTAAAAGTCATAAGTTTAAAGTAGCGCCTCCAATCAGAGAGACGTTAGACGCACTCAAGAGACATCAAATTAATCTTTCGATGCATACATTATGTTCCATCATGGTTACTAATTTCCCTGGGGGCCCCACATGAAGCACGCGAGAAACCTAATTAGCGATCGCTAAGCCCGTGATCCTGATCCCCACCAGACTGCACACTCACACGCGTACAATCAATAACCCCTTCTCCTATGTCTAAAATGTGACTCGTCATCAATACACCGATCATGCCTCTCTAATTACCTAGATGGATTCTTACAACGAAAGACCATAACACATGCATAAGAAGGCAAAGATAAACTATGTAGCACATTTATAAAGTTCATAAATTCGTAACATTAAAATAGACCAAACATTTATGAATTATGGCGGTCATGTGTGTTGCGTCATGGATTTTGTGTGTTCTGCTAGCTGCCCGTGGTGGTTTAGGAGCCATTAGAAAAGACATTTTCATATTGGGTGGACAAAGCAACATGGCTGGTCGTGGAGGTGTTAAAGGGGGCAAATGGGACGGTAATGTTCCACCGGAGTGCAAGTCCAACCCATTTATTTTGAGGCTTAATGGAAGGCTTCAATGGGAGGAGGCACGTGAGCCTTTGCATGAGGACATTGATGTGGGTAAAACATGTGGTGTTGGGCCCGGAATGGCCTTTGCAAACGAGGTTGTCAAAGCAAGTGGTGTTGGGTGTGTGGGTCTTGTCCCCTGTGCTGTGGGGGGAACTAGGATTGGAGAGTGGAATAGAGGGTCACGTTTGTACAATGATTTGGTGCAACGATCGATACACTCCCTGAGGGATGGTGGTGGCACAATACGAGCACTTCTTTGGTACCAAGGCGAGAGTGACACGGTGACAGAAGAGGATGCTGATGCTTATAAGCATAATATGGAGACCTTTATTAGGGACCTTCGCACTGACCTTCATCTTCCTTCTCTCCTTGTTATCCAGGTTAGTCTTCCCCTCCCACTCTGGTTTTCAATTTTTTTGTTTCACGAACACTTTTTTTTCTTTATTTTTTGGTGGGGTTGAGGTTGTGAATTGTGATTTTAATTGTCTTTTTTCACACCCCTCCTCTTTAGATCAAGTTATTTTTCTTATGCATCTTTGTGCTTTCAAATGCCTTTTAATCGTAATCAGGAATAAGGAAAGTTTTAAGGATGTTAATTAAGGAATTAAAATAGAAATTTTTGTCATGAAAATTTTTGTAATGATAAGATGATATGAATAAGTATAAATATAAAGCACTAAACCCAAATTTTAATTTCACGATCATTATAATATTTGTCATGTACAAAAATCATATTAAAAAAATTCGTTTCCTTTTTCTTGAATTAACACACTTGCGATTTAGCGAGTTGTCTTTTTGCGAGCGATGATGATTTTGTTAGCATTCCTCTTTATTAGAAAGCAGACAGATGGAACACACCTGTATTTGAAATGAAATGGAAACGAGGGTGCTTGCCTATAGTTGAGGGCTCGAGGCACTCTATTGAAATATATGGCATCATGGTTCATATGTATGATTCCAGACCAATTATTATGACATGCAACTGTTCAGTAAACACCGCTCCGACTTGCATCAGTTCTTGTTTTTTGAAATCGGTACAAGTTGCTTGTGCTTTAAAACATTTCAAAATATGGTCTGAAAAAACAAAATATTAACTATAGTAAAAAATTATAAATTTTTATTTAGCATTTAATATTATTAATGTATTAAATCATGTAAAATTTTATTATCTGTCATAAAATTAACTATACATAAATTTTTTTTGTACCAATTAGGATACATGTTCAAAAATCATTTGTCACTTTATTTCTACAAACCCTCTTTATTATTAACTAAAAATAATATAATAATGTTTTATGTCTTTAAGATAACAAATACATATACTTTCTTATTTAATAATATCAAGTTAATTTGAAGATTATTATTAAGAAAATATAACAAACTTAAGGGGAAAAAACTTTATAGAGAAAGCCATGCATATGGCTTATAAAACGCAGTGTATTTTGTTCCCATAGTTGTTCATGTATTTCTTTTGAAATGCCCAAACTGGAAAACTATGATGTGACATGATCACTATGCTCAGTGTCTCTAATTTGGCATGCTCATGTAAAATATTGTTACGCAGGTAGCACTTGCATCAGGAGAAGGCAAGTTTATAGAGAAGGTTAGACGTGCGCAACTGGGGATCACACTTCCTAACGTAAAGTGTGTAGATGCGAAAGGGTTACGCCTCAAGCCAGATAAACTTCACCTTACTACCATGTCTGAGGTTCATTTGGGTATTCGGTTAGGTCATGCCTATCTCTCTTCCATCACTCACCAATTTAATCATACACAAGTTAGCTAGGTATAGCTGAGAGTGCATTTTGTATTTGGCAATAGGTAAACAACAGAGAGAGTATATTTTGAAAGAAATTCTACATCAGAAGGCTTTGCCTTTCTAATCAATAATTTTGGATTACTTCATGAGCATTAAGTATATTCACTTAAAACACAACATATAAACGAATAGAAATTCTTTTATGGTGATTATCTGACAAAGCCTCTCATGAGGAATGTCTCGTGGTCTAACAGCGTGCAAAACCACCCATCAAGCCTTTACCCATGACTGATAGCATTAAGGTTGAGTTATTTTATAGAAGTTAGTGATTTTTATTTTTCTTAACATGCATGAATGTTATTAAATTCAAATAATTAAGACAAAGAAGATATCTAGATAAAGAATTTTAAAATTAAAAAATAAATTATAAAATTAGATGGCTCAAAAGTCACCTAAATTTAAAAAGAAGATAATAACACTTTGCATTTTATAAAAATTAATATTTTCTAATAGCATTAAATAATTATAGTTTTATTTAGACTTTATTTGAATGTTTAGAAAAGTAAAGAAGAAGAAAATTTGAAGGAAAAAAAAAGAGAGAAGTTAAATCCCTCATTTATTTAGATGTATAATACTGAAAAAAATAATAAAAATTTAATTATAAATGACATTATTATCTTTTATTTATATTTTTTTAGTTTTTAAAAATATAAAAATTAAATATTTTTCTTTTAAAAATTAATATCATTAAAATTAATATTTTATTATTATTATTTTAAAAAAAAATTCACATTAAAAATTAATATATTTTAAAGAAAAAAATGTAACAGTGTGAAAGAGAAAAGTCTTCTAACTCAAAAAATTAATATTAAAAAATTGAAAATTTTTTATTAAACATAACATTTAAATATAACTTTAAAATTTAATTTTTTTATTTTATAAAAAAATAACGAGATTTTTGTGTTGATTCTTATAAATTGAAAATAACGGGAGACAGCGTAGCCCACCTTGGGCTGGACCGTACAAGACTGGGATTAACTTGTTATTTTATGACTGTATTTATGTAATTTGGACATTAGCATTTAGCAATTTGTTGGAATAATCATAGCTCAGCACAGCTTGGAGCATATGAAGCTCTACACCACATAATTACAAAAGACAGGGTGTCCTGGCGTCCAATCAGCGACGCTCCTACCGTATAAATCAGGATAACATTTTGTATTTTGTGATCGTATTTCAAGTTTCACATCGTCTTTTCAGTCATTCTATACACAACAAAATTATATTTTAAAATACATAAACATCTCAATGCATAAATGTGATTCTCTAAATAAAAACTTAAATCATTACCTTATTTGTATATTATTAGGACAATAGTGATAGGTCAAGTTTGAATATTAAAAAAATTATTAAACATGATAGATTCAAGCTTATTAATTTTATAATATTATATAAATTATAATATATTTCAAAAATTATATTAAATAAATTAAATTTTAATTTTAAAATTATTAAATAGATTAAACTTATTCGTATAAATCGAATCTACCTTACCAAATTCCGTGATTGGAAACATTAAATCCAAAGTATTAAAATTTTAAAAATAAATGACAATTCATGATCCCGCGCATGCATTTAGGTTTATATCTATAAGCAAAATACGCGAATTCATTCATATACTACAAGCCTCGACTTATGCATCTATCTTCAGTGAATATCGTACCAAGCACATTAAGCACGTGTGATCAAAACCACATCTTCCACAAATCATAATGAATGACAAGGTATTCGGCCTAACTTATGCTATAAAAATAAAAATAATAAACACTTTCTTATGTTATTAAATAACGTCTAATGTGCCTTTAAAATGTAACTAAATATCAAATTTTGAATAATACATTTATAAATAGTTAAATTTTATAAGATTTAATATATATAATTATAAAAATAATATAAAATTAATTAATTAAGTTTAACTATTAAATAAAAAGCTTTACATGTTTTTTTCTTTCATTTCTTATATAGAAAAAGTAAGAATAATAAAATATGAAATTTTGGATAAAATTATTGAAATATAAATAATTTTTCATTACGATTTTGGTATTTTAATTTTTTATTATTTTTTGAAAAATTAATTTTGGCTACTTTTTATTTTTAAAATTTTTTATATTTTTTTAAAAAAAATTGATATTTTATAAGTTTTATCTGTAAATTTTTGTACATACACTAGAAATTATCAATTTAAAATTTCCATAATTTTTTCAAAAATTATATATAATAATATATATTATTTTTAAATACCATTTACAAATAAAAAAACCCTACCTACGAAGGGACCCGAATAATGTTTGTACGAGGAGTAAGGTCCGACAAAAAGACAGTAGTGCAAACACAGAAAAACCCACCAAGAATAGTTTCCGGCTCGTTGATTTGACATGAAACTAATGTAGGCTGTGTAGCTCCCACAAAGCAAAAGGAAAGGATTTCGCTAATCAATATTTATGAGTTACTGATTAAAAATTAATATTTAATTGTACTTTTAATTTTTTACAATTTTACTTTCTTATTTTTATTCTTTAACACTTTAAACTATGTTATATCCCAAAAAATTTACCAAATAATTAATATAATATAATAAAAATTTGATATGTTATTAATTTATATAAATTAATAAACTCAAAATATATAAAATGTTTAAATAAAAATATAATTAGTCTTTCAAATTTTATTTAATTTAAAAATTAGGAAACCTAAAAACTAAAAGTAAGTACTTAAAAAATTTATATATAAACATTATTAAAAAAAATTTAATTACATTTTTTGTTCCTATAAATATTAGACATTTTGTAATAAGTCCTTATAAAATATTTTTGTTAGTATTTAGTCTTTCAAAACTTAAAAAGTTAAGATTTAATTGCTATTATCAACTCTTTTTTATTAAATATTGAGCTAGGTCACGAAGAATCAGCTCAGTATTTCGACATTACACCACATAATATGTCATATTATTTTTATTATTTAAAATTAATACTTAGAAATAAGTCATTAAACACATTTTATATAATTACAAACAAGTCTTTTTTTTTTTTTCTTTCTCTTCTTCGGTTTCTCCTTCCCCTCGTTCCACCTCTCTCCCTCTTCTCTACCCACCTCACCCTACCATTTCGCCAACCCCCACCCCTCTCTATTAAGATAGAGCCTTGTGTATTAAGTGAGAGTCACCCCCTAGAGAGAATGATAAGAACAAAAGATAACTTTGTATTTTTTTTATTTTCAATTCTTATATCATAACCACTATAAAATATGCTAAAAGGAAATAACAAAAAGCAGTTAACAATAGTATATGTAACAAACTTTTTTTTTAGAATCGTTCTTATAATCCAATTAATAAATATATTCTTTCGAATACTCGTGCTCTTTGGAGACATGCTTGGACCTCTTGTAATGAATTGAATCGTTGTTGGATCTATTGAAACTTGAACTTCCTCTATATTGTCTTCTTAGACTACTTTTTCTGCTCTTATAACATTACCTCATTGGACTAAGGCAAAATGAGTAGGAACATTATCAACATGAATGGTTTTGAAAGTGATGATGGTGAGAGGACTCAGAGGAGTGATCAAGGAATGAATATCAAAAGAATCCAAAAGAAGTTGATTTGATTATGGAGGTAGAGGACTATGATGAAATTTGAGTTTTGAACAGTGGAACACATTATGAATCCTGCAAGAAGGAAGAAGGTGCAATCTATATGCAACATGACCAATACACTCCAAAATTCTGTAGGGACCATAGAACCGTTTAGCCAGTTTATGATACTTCTAGCCAGACAAATAAATCTAACAATGCGGCTGTAATTTCACGTAAATCCAGTCATCAACCACAAATTTCACCTCACTGTGATACTTATCAGCAAGAAACTTCATGCGAGCTTGAGACTTGGACAAATTGCGATTAAAGAGCTCTAAAACTTCTTCACATGAACTTAATACAAAATCACAAGCTTCCACTGATGAAGAGCTAGCCATATAATTGGGAATACAAGGAAGAGGGCGTCCAAAAATGATTTGAAAGGGGCAAAAACCTGAACCAGAATGGACAGAAGTATTGTGATGAAATTTCACCCAAGGTAGGAACTTGAACCCCAAAAAAGGTTTATGATGAGAAAAAGTGTGGAGGTATTGCTCAATCACGTGATTCATCACCTCCATTTGACCGTTTGTTTGTGGGTGATAAAATGAGCTCATTCAAAGCATAGTTCCACCAAACTTAAATAATTTTGCCCAGAAGCGATTAATAAAAACTAAGTCTCTATCAAAAACGATACTTTTGAGGAGACTGTGGTGTTTACAGACAATTAAAACATAGAGCTCAGCTACACGATAAGCAGTAAATTGGGTAGGAAGTCCCCCTAAATGGATCATTTTGGAAAAACGATCCACTGCAACAAAAATAATTATATACTTATGCGATAGAGGCAAACCAATGATAAAATCAATAGAAATATACTACCAAACCTGAGATGGAATTGGAAGAGGATGTAAAAGACCACCAGGTTGCTTGGTACTATATTTCACTTGCTGACAAGTGTAACACTTCAAAACAACTTCACAAACATTCTTAGAAGGCCCTCTCAATGAAAATTAGTGAAAATGTATTTCAAAGTTTTTGTCATCCCAACATGCCCACCATTGGGCGTCTCATGATACTCCCAAATCAAAAGGAGACAAATTTTGGAAGAAGGTGGCAACCAAATTTTTCTGTGATAAAACAAATATTTGTCAAGCAACTGAAATCCAGGAAGGGATGCTGGAGAAAAGACACACTAAGCTGTATAAAAAGCATATTGGGGGTCCATTTGCAATTCTCGTGACAATTCCTCTAAGAAAGCAAAATGAGAAACCGAGAGCAAATAATAAGTAATAGAAATAGGTTCAATGGACTGAGACAAGGAATCAACCACAATGTTAGTTCTTCCAGGCTTGTACTGAATATCATAATGATATCTCAATCACTTTGCAAGATAA